TCTCTCTCTCCCTCTCCTTTCCTCTCTCTGAAATCAATAAAGGTATATTAAAAAAATATATATATATATATCTTTATTTTTAAAAAAAAAAGATGATATCTAAATCAAATGGAAAAAATTATAACAAATAAATAAATAAATAAATGCTGGTTCTGAAAGTGATTAAAAGGGATCCTTTAATGGAGGTTCTAGTAAAGACAGGGTATTTATTCCCTACAGGGTCACTTCTTCATGTTTTTTCATTTAGAAAATTCTAAAAACGGTTGTAAGTCATGACTATCAACATTTATCAACATGGATAATTCCTACCTCTGCTTTTGCCAGCTCAGTTGAACTACTATGATGCAGACCAGAAAAATAAGTTTGAAATAAATAGGATAGGAAAACAACAGGAAAACAGGATTTAGCCAGATAGGCTCAGTGTGTCTACTGATAGCTAGGACAGAGGGGAGAAAATTAAGTGTGGGTAAAAATATTTGAACTGTAGCTAGTAAGAGAACTTAGGGAGCTGGAAACATGGGAGGCAAGGGATCAACTGAGAGGTGGACAAAAGTTGGGAATAGAAGACTGATATTTGAGAAATATTGCTGTAGATTATCATGAACTGGATTATTTTTTATGTTTCTCATGTGAGTAAAGATTGGAATTCATTTTTAAATTATTTTGGGGCGACTATGCTTATCTCTATATGTGAATGCCACAAACACTAGGCCATTTGGGGTTGCAAGATTTACTAGGATGACAAAGGAAGAAAAACTTACTCCATGAATTAAATCTTCCTTTTGCAGATATTTCAGTCAAAACAAACTTGTCCCCTTCCCAGGGCACATGGATCCCCCCCCTCCCCAAAATGGGTTTCTAAGCCACAGCACTTACATTATGAGGACTGGTTGGCTTTCCAGTTAGATTGGATCCTCTAAGGTTAGGAGGTCTCAGTAGAAACAAGATCAATGCAATAACCATCCAGGCCATCAAGATCATAGTAATACTGATGCCATTATCACCAGAGGGTCCTGGTACTAAAGACAAAAAACATATTTGCAACAAAAACTGGAGCATGACTATAATACTGTTAGGTAAATGTAAAAACAATTATGCTTAAATGTTAACTTCAAAAACTGTATTACTATAAAAAGACTGTATTAATAATTTAGAGAAGTATAATTATGAAGTATTACATTTTCAATTTCCCTTTCCTCCATGAGAAAATCTAAATGGTAATGGTATAAAATAGTCAAAAGCCAAAGCCTATTAAGTGAAGATTTTAATATTGCAGTTCTTAATATTCTGGGATAATAAAATCCTTTGAGAATTTGATTAATATTAAGGGGATTCTTTTCACCATAGGAATCCATGTATACACATTCAACAATTTTGCATATAATTGTAGGAAGGTTCATGGACCCACAAAGCCACCAATCCAGATATACTGAGATCTATGGAACCCAGGTTAAAATCACCTGATATACAGTAAATACACTCTACTTTGGGGAAAGGAGGAATTCTGCATTTTAATTAAAGAAGCAGCAAGAAAAAAATAACAGAGCTTAAGGAAAAAGGAACATTTGAGTTGTATAATATATATATTAAAGTCCCTTTAATGATATTCTCAAGAGAGATATTAATTTGGACTTTTTGAAAAAAGAAGTTGTATTCAGATCTAGATATTTTAAAGTCTATGCATTTATTAAAAGAAATAAGTCAGGCATGTGTACATAGATGTCACTTTTCCCTGCTCCTTGAGGCAGACTTATCTTATTTAATTCAGAATGACAAGTACCTACCAGAGTGCCTGGCCCACAGTATGAGATTAAAAAACTTCTAATAAGTGAAACAGATTTTTTACTGAACTATCTTAGAAAACTCAAATTGTCAGAAATGAAAATAACAGACGACTAAATTTCTAATCATAGAATCTTTAGATGGTTATTAAAATAGGCTGTCAAGACTGTAACTGTTTGGTTTTGACCTCCCTGCCTCAGGAAAAAGTAAAAGAAATCCATGCAAGATATAGTGCTCTGGGGTCCATGGGCCCAGGACTCACCCCCAAGAAAGTGAACAGATGGGTGGCATTATTGACACCAAAGGATTAGTGACCAAAAGGGAAATCATCAATCAAGGGTTGAGCTAGCCGAAGAGCAGCCTGGATAGGAATGCAACCTGTGTCTGTTGCACCCCAACCACTTCCCCAGAAACAACTAACACAGTATTCAGAGTCACCAAAATTGTATTACTCATCACACAGCGCGTCAGTAGACTTTTTTCCTCTATGTCCATATCTTTTTCTTGTACCCTCCTATTATATAAACGTGCTCCCTTATAATTAAGACCAATTTCTCCATTTGAGCTTTGGATCCCATTACTCTTGCAGATGATCCACTCACTATCTTCTCTCTTGTGTATTCAACACCCCCCTTATTCCCCATTGTAGCCAATTCATATTCACTTAAACGTGATCAAGTTTCTCCCACCTTTTTTTTAAAAAAAATCCCTTCCTCAATCCCTTTCCCTGTCCAGCTATCAGAGCTAATATCTTCAGAGTTGTACACATTTCACTACCTCCCATTCATGGCTCTGGTTGGTATCCATCTCCATCATCATTCGATCAGCTTTTCAAAAGGTTACCTATGACACCTCCAGGCTGCTAAGCCCAATGGGTAGTTTCAGTTCTCATTCCATGACCATTCTCTCTTTTTCAAAACACTTTTTCTTCCTTTGTCTCTGTGCCACTCTGTGCCTTCTTTCTACCACTCAACCACTCCTTTACAAGTTCATTTTCCTCTTCCTGGCTTTTAAATATTAGAATTCCTCACAGTCAATTTTAGGGTCCCTTCGCTTCTTGCTGTACACACTATCATGCTCACCTGTAGCTTCATTTACTCTGTTTGCAGACCACACCTAAATTTATACCCAGACCTAGCTCTCTGAACTTCAGACTCAAGTCTCCATCTATTGTTCTACATTAATAGTTCTATTTTTTTTATCTTCACATCATCAGGGAGTTTTTTGTTGTTGTTTTTTTAATCTGCAATAATACTTTTATTTCATGTGTTAGTTTTCTAGGGCTGCTATAAAAAAAGTATCACAAACTTGGTGGCTTAAAACAAAAGAAATTTATTCTTTCTCAGTTCTGGAGGCTCAGAGTCCAAAGTCAAGGTGTCATCAGGGCCATTCTCCCTCTGAGGGCTCTAGGGGGAATCCTTCTTTGTCTCTTCCAGCTTCTGCTGGTTGCCTATAATAGCTGCTGTTCCTTGGTTTGTCCATATATCACTCCAATCTCTGCCTATGTCCTCACACGGAAGCCTTCTCCTTGTGTGTCTGTGTGTCCAGATTTCCCTCTTCTTATCAGGACACTCATCATTGGATTAGGGTCTATCTTAATCCTCAATGACCTCCTTGATTACATCAGCAAAGGCCCAGTCTCGGTGCTTCTTCAGCTCCCTGGTTGTGGGGCTTCTGTGCAGCCAGACCTCAGGAGGCTCTGAGTGATGGTGGTTCTGCATTTTAGTTGTAATTCTGATGTGGTTGCGGGAGGCGGCGGGTCCAGCTGCTACCTATGCCGCCAGCTTGTTCCCTCTCCATCCACATCAACAGTTCTTAAACTGTGGTGTATATTAGAGCCATTCAGCAGCTCCTTTAAAACACGGGTGACTAAATCCCACCTTGCACTTTACGTACTCAATATCCCAAACTAAAATGAGCATCTCCCCTACCCCATTCTCCATGCCCCACCAAACTGGGTCTCCATTCATCCAGCTGCCTCAGTCAGAAATCTATGAAAATATCTTTTGTTCTCTCTCCATGACCCTCTATTTAACACATCATGAATTTTCTGTCCATTTTACTACCTTAATATCACTCGAATCTGCCCAATTCTAGCTCTACTCCCACACTTGCTCAAGCTACCTTCACTTCTTGTCTGACCTACTGCAATGGCCTATTAACAGATCTCCCCATACCTACTCTTGCTTCCTCTGATTCTGTCCTCTATGCTGCTCTAAGAGTAATTTTTTTAAAAAAGCAAATACTATTTATAATTTTATTACTAAATAGCTAAACTGTCGCTATTGTCGTTGAACCAGGCATGATCTCTCTTAATCCTTTTAACAACCTTATTTTATGGTAGATACTATCATATCTTCACTTTATAGATGAGGAAAATGGGGAAAAATGGGGTTAAATCCCAATGTCATATAGTTGGTATGTGGCAAAGCTGGGGTTTAAATACAGGTGCTCTCATTCCAGAGCCTGTGCTCTTGACCTCTTTGCTATGTCATAATCTCTGACAATATCACACAGTGAGGCAGACCTCTAAAAACTGTTAGTATTGTAGGTTGGAAAATAGAGATTTAAAAAGGATTTTTGATAAGTAAGATTATAACTAGCTGTTAGGTAAAACTAGATTATTTAAAGTTAGTCAAAGAAAGATAACTGTGTTTTCCATACATTATCAGAAATAAAATGCTAGATTGATTAATTGTACAGACCAGAAGTATAACTCCAATGCCAATTCTTATTTTATTCAATTTGGAAAATGGATCCCTTACTTTCTGATACTCTTTGCAAGTAAAAGATTCAGAAGCTTTAGAGAGTTAAACCTCAGATCACAAATTTACTAATTCATATTTCTGGACGGAGCAGCCCTAACAAAAGGCCCACTCCTTTTTAAGATGCTCATAGTGATAATATGGCACTTAGTTCCCTATAACTGTCTCCTAGCTTGGTTCCTGTTGCAGCCTTTCCTTCCTGCATTTTGCTGCCAGAAAACTCTGCTTAAAACGCTGCTCTTAACACATCACTGCTGACCAACCCAGTGACTCAATCTCTACTGCTTCCACTCTCAATTCCTTTCCTCATATGATCTGGCCCACTCATCAATATTAACTCTGTAATTTCTCAGAAAAAGCATCCTTTGTCAACCCTATACCTTCTTCCTTCTTTAGCCAGTGGTTCCTAGCCTGCCTGTGCATCAGAATAGTCTATGACAATATCAACACCACAGAATCTAAGGCCTTGACTTAACTCACATCATCTAATTCAGGAGCAGCTGAGGGGTGGGGTCAAGAACCGATATTTTAAAAGCTTTTCAAATGAATCTGATGCATTAATTCAATACTAGTTTGGCTGACAGCATTTGCCAACTTTGCAAACTCAACCCTGGAGTACTCATTATTTTTCCCATCTGGCACATTCTTACACCTACCCTCCATTTATTCTCCTATATCCGACATCCCTCTCTCTTCCGTAAAAATCTCCATTTCCCACTATTTCCTTTCTTCTCTAGACTAGTGTAGCATTTCTAGTTTGAATAAATGGTTTCACATTTCTTCTAATTAGGTCATTAACTTTTTAAGAACTGAGACCATCTCTTAGCTATGTAATCTGTGCCTCAGTTTCTTTACCTGTGGAATGGAAATACTACCAGCATCTCAGAGAGTTGTTGTGCGGGTTGAAATGATCAGTATGTGAAAAGCAGCACCGTGCCTGGTACGCAGTAGGTATTCAGTAACTATTAGCCATTACCGGTATTAGAGTCAACTAGAGCACAGGAAAAACTGAGTGCAGATGGATCCTAGTGGAAGTAACCAGCCTGAAGAAGATGGTGGAGTGGGAATGGAAAAGGGTCAGAAACAACTGGTATTGGGTTGGAGGAAGTCCCCTTGGTGATGACTAGAATGGTGGGAGGAGGAAGAAGAGGAAGGTCAGGATGCCTCCAAAGGGTAGCATATGCAGTAGAATCTCTCCACTTAAAAGGCTAAATGGATATAGTTTTCCTAACTCCCAAGATTTAATAAGATCATTTCTCTTATTCTCCACTAACTGAGAGACCATCTCAGAATAAAGGATAATAGATAAACCAACTGAAGCCAAACCTCTTGATCACAGCCAATGTTTTTCACTTATAGCAGTCCCACAAAATTAAGACTGGCTCTAGGATTTACTTTCACATGGGCATAATGTGCAAGGTTATTAACAAAAAGCTGAAACAAACCCTAAATGTCCACCAAGAGAGTCTGATTAATACATTACGGTACACCTGTACAATAAAATACTATAAAGCTGTAAAAAAAAAGTTGAAGGAAGTCTCCATGAGATATGCTATTTTTTGACAGGAAAAAAAAAAAGCAGGTGAAGAACAGTATGTCCAAAAACTGAGGGAACAAATACATTCTGCTTGTACATGCGTATGAAATTCTGGGGAGATATACAGAAGGCTAATAACACCTAGAGACATGGCCTGGGTAGGTGGGAAAATGAACAGGACAACTTTTCACTTTACATGAATTGATTTTTAAACCATATGTAAAATTGAATATACTGAATTAAACTAAACAAACAGCCCTAAGCCCTAGCCAGTTTGGCTCAGTGGTTCAAGCACAGGCCCGCAGACCAGAGTCACGGGTTCGATTCCCAGTCAAGGGCACGTATGTACCTTGGTTGCAGGCTCGATCCCCCACCCAGCTTGGGGCGAGTGCGGGAGGCAACCAATTATTTTGTCTCTCTCACATCAATGTTTCTTTTTCTTTCTCTCCCCCCTCCCCCTTCACTCTCTCTAAAAAAAATGGAAAAGTATCCTCAGGTAAGAATTAAAAAAAAATAGCCCAAAAAATCTTGGGGTATCTGACTTCTTCGCATATTCAAAAAGAGAGATGAAAGACCCTGTTGATGAATGAATCACTGCAGGCTTTCTGTGACTATTCACAGTCCCTTATGACAAGACCCACTTATTCACCAATCTCAGAATAGGTATCTATTCCAACTCCCTGACACTATATGCAGCTAGTACGGACAAATGTCAGGAGCAGTTATTTTAGGGTCAGTATGGAGAGATGAATGGACCTTTACATGATCTGGCCACTGTGGTTTTTATTGTGATAACTTTTAGGCACATATAAACACTAAGGGGCACAGTCACATGGAGGATATAAAATCTGTTCCCCCACTGCCTGGACATTATCCGCCTTAAGAGGGTAAATACTTTTTAGTCCTGGCCGGGTAGCTCCATTGGTTGGAGTGTCATCCCAATACATCAAGGTTGCGGGTTTGATCTCTGGTCAGGGCACAAACAAGAAGCAACTAATGAATGCGCAAATAAATGGAACAACAAATCGATGTCTCTCTCTCTTTCTCCCTCTCTCCCTCTCGCCTCTCTCTCTCTCCCTTCCTTTCATCTCTAAAATAATTTTTTAAAGTATGTTTTTATTGATCCCAGAGAGTGGAAGAGAGAGGGAGAGAGAGAGAGAGAAACATCAATAATGAGAATCACTGATCGGCTGCCTCCTGCACGCTCCCTGCTGAGGATCCAGCCCGTAACCCGGGCATGTGCCCTGACCCAGGGAATCGAACCTCTATCTCCTGGATCACAGGTCGATGCTCAATTGCTGAGCCACATCAGCTGGGCATAAAATCTTTTTTTTTTTTAAATGAGGATAAATACTTTCTATGCTATGGTCTGGAAAGATGTCAAATCATAAAAATGTAAAAGGACTCTGTACACAATACAATGTTCTGTTTCGCTTAAGGGTTAAGTCTTGGTTATAAGCAAACATGAGTATTATTAAAAAAAGATGCCAAATGGAATATTCACAAAGAAGCTATTAACTTAGCTGGACACAGGAAGATGAAAGAGTAGACAGGGAAGCTCTATGAGCTGGCAGATCCTGAGGGATTATTTCTATACACTTTTTTAAAAAATGTATCTTTATTGTTGAAAGTATTACCGATTTCCTCCACTTTCCCCCATTTACCTCCTCCTTCCCACTCATGCCCTCCTCAGGCCTTCACCACACTATTGACTGTCCATGTGTTGCGCATGTATACATGTAAATTCTTTGGTTAATCTCTTTCCACGTGCTCCCTTCCCTCTAAAATCAGTCTATACACTTTTATAGGTTTCCAGTGGGAAAAGTGAAACTAGAACAGCAAGAGTGGACAAAGCACCAGTAGGCTTTAAGCCTATAGTCTTTGGGTTCTGTACAGCAACAATTTTCAGCTGGTGTGCTGCAAGAGCTTTTAAAACATGCAATACCTGACTATTTCGTCAGGGGCGTTGACCTCTTTTCCCTTAGACTGTCAAATAAAAAAATGACAGCAGCCAACACAATAGCCGTCCAGTGTGAATGAATCATAATTATACCTATTTTTTGTCAGATTGGCAAAAAATATATTTTTGGTGTGCCGTATAATTTTAGTAATTAGTTTTTGTGTGCCATGAGATGAAAAAGGTTGAAAATTGCTCATTTACAGTAATTACATTATCCTCGGTACAGCCACTCGTTTTCAAGCTGATTTATTTCAAAAGCAAGTTAGTGATAGAGCTGGTTTCCATACAACTATCTAAAAGGCAGTCTTTCAGAAGAGTGAGAAGACTTGTTCTATACTATTCTAGAGAGCAAACCTGTGGGTGTGCATTACAATGAAGGGGACTTTAGCTCAATATAAAGAATCACGCAACTAGGTGTTAACAGACTACAACTAGATTCTCCTACCACATGAAGTAATGAGCTCCTATTCAATTACCTCATCTCAAATATGCGACACACCACGGCAGGCCCAATAGGACTATGAAACTGTGACATAAAAGATACATATTTGGCTTTCTTCCTGGTTCCTAGAACAAAGATTTCCTGAGTGATTGGGGTAGGAGGAATGTCTTTTGTTATTCATAATTAATCTCTTTCAACCTTATCAGAGTTTATGCTAATGAGGACTCTTGGCAGGCCCCTATACAGCTTCAGGATGGAGGCTGGTTGCCAGAGTTTGACCATGTACTTAGAAAGCCGGAACTTTCAGCTCCACTCCCTGACCTCCTGGAAGAGGAGAGGAGCTAGAGATCAAGTTAATCACCAATGGCCAATGATTTAATCACTCGTGTCTGCATAATGGAACGTCGATAAAAACCCTAAACAATGGGTTCAGAGAGCTTGCTGGCTGGTGAACACATCAATGTGCTAGGAGAAGGACACCTCGAAAGAAGACAAGGAGCTCTACACCTCTTCCCTACCTCGCCCTATGCATCTTTTCCACTTGGCTGCTACTGAGTTGTATCCTCCATCATAAACCAGTGATAGTAAGTTACCTGTTTTGCAGTGTCCTGTGAGCCATTTTAGCCAATTATTGAATCTGAGGAGGTGGGGTCATGAGAACCCCTGATTTGCATTTTATGAAAACAGCATGGACTCACTAGAGAAAATTTAGAATAGAAAAGTGATTCCATTACCCAGAGGAAACAACTGCTTAAACCATTAAAAAATATGGCTCTCAGAAGTATTTCCAACAAACAATAAAAGAACTGGTGGGAAAATCTGGCCAATAAGGTCTAGAGTTTGCCTTTATATTTAAATTAAGGAAGTGGTATTTCACTCACAGAAATAAGAGTGTATCTGTTTACAGGTGGGGCTGGCTCAAAGGTCACAAATACCACAAATGTAATAAACACTCCTTTTCCTATAAGTTCAGTAAGATTATTTTCAACTGGAAGAACAAGTTTTAGCTTTACCTGCTTAGTTGAAAACTGAGTTATCAGAGGCACACTGTAGATTAATAAATGCTACTGAAGAAGCAACATAAAGAAATGTGAAGGGGGAACCATCGCCCATCATCCTAACAGCTTAACACAACATCTGCACAGTACCACTATGTTCTTGTCCAGAGGCATAAAATGTTTACCCTGTTGTACCAATGGAGGGTCTGCATTTTGACAAAATTCCTACTTTGGGTGAGAGGCACAGTACCAGCTCCTATTTTTCTAAGTTGTTATATGTATAGAATTTGATGGGGCACCCAGTCCACACCACAATAACAACAATTAATAATGTAATAACAAGTCCCTTCATAACAATACCTTACTGTGGTTTTAGTTTCATATATATTATAAAGTGGAGCTCGGCTTCTGGGATGTTAAATATACACAACTACCCTATAAGTAAATGCAATTTAGCTTCATGTCAAAGCCCTAAAATGTGCATACAAAGGATATTTAAGTACTGCTTATAAGAGCAAAAAATTTATCATCAACCTAACAGAAGAGAATGATTTAAACACTAGTGCATCCCAATAAGAGATTATTATTTAGTCGGTAAATATTTTTAAGATAAATATATACTGATACATTCATAATACAGTGAAAAACAGTACACAGTGATCCCATTTTTATAAGTGTATATGAAATCTCATTGTGCCAGGCTTCACTATCCTGTGAATGTCATCCTTCCAGTTGAATTAATAGCACAAGACTAAACTGACTTAAATGTTAGTTATCAGTTCCCCCAAAGTATCCCTCAAGTTATTTCTGTCCTGAATAAAGATGCCTAACATAAGGGCCACCAAGTCTGTCAGCTGCATTCACCATGCAGGATCCACCTTCCTGCTCTGATTCTCACTTAACTATCACCACTGCACATAATGCCAGAGAGAAAGAAACCTCCCCGCTGCCTGTTCCTCCTGAAAATGCTAATATCAGGGCCAAAGGAATTACTCTACATGCTCCCAAAGCTTCCAGACTTTGGGAAAGAATGGCCTCTTCCTTTACTCAGAAGTTCTCAAAGCTGCCCATGGATGAAAATAGATGCTAAGGAAAGAGCAAGGGGTTTGTGCTGGCAGCCTCAATGTTCCAGTTCAACCAGCCAAAAGTGCCCTGTTACATGTATATTTGCCAAGAAAAAAGTCTAGAAAGGTTTACACAAAGTCAGTCAACAGTGGTTATCATTTAGTAATCTGGAAGTTTTTCCTTTTCTTTTATTCTTCTCTGTGATTTTTATAATTTTTTTCAACAAACAGGGTACATTTTTGAGGCAGGGGGGAACAACTTTTTTTCAGCGAAAAATTAAATATTTAAGTAGGAAATACATTACTAAGGACCATTTCCTTAAAGAGCAAACTGTAAAAATAATTTCTGACAAATTATGCACAGTCATCTGGCCTCTAATTCTGCCCTCAATGCCAAGCTTCCTCCTGTCCCATCATTACTTACATTCCTGAAGACATTCTGTGTCTGTGCAGTAGGACTGGGACTGCCTTAACTACAATGAAAAAAAAGAAAGGAAAGTTAGCCAATGGACTAAACCGAAAATGGATACTATTTATTAGATCATGTTTTGTTTTTTAATGAATGCTACCACAGTGTATATCATACCTTCAAAATCAGATACAAACACAGAACAGAGGGCTGTTCAGTTTGGGGGGATTTTTCCTACTTAACATAATTTTCAAATAAACCATCATCTACTGTAATTCACCTATTTAAATTAAGGAATTTTTTAAAAATCACCTGTAACTGGAACTGCTGCTCCCATAGGTTATTAGACTTCCCAAAGGAAAAGCACTAAACTATAGAGAAGAGCTACTAAAAAGACAGTAAACTTTGTTAATGAGATTCTTTTTTCCTCGTTGAAAACTGAAGCAGATAGAGGAAAAAAACAGATTGTCTTTGTAGAAACTACACCTTTGAAGGGGAGGAACACATTTTTTCCTTTTTGCTTATCTTTGTATAAACAGTGGTTTGATAAATAAGAAAGTAATAAAAACTGATACCATAGGGGTTGGGATGGAAGAGAGGAGTAGAGTAGGCTCTGGTAGAGATGGCAGTTAAAGTTTGCAATGTCTATCTTTTTACATAATCTAATTTTGGAACCATGTGGTTATCAATTTTAAGAAAAAATTAAAAAGAAAAAACTTATCTAGCAATAAACATAAATCATTCTTTTATGAATGTTCACCCGATGCTGAGGCCTTCTATGAATGTTTAGAAATGATAATTTCATAAATCTTAACAGAGATGACTGCACAGTAGAGAATGAGGAGCATACAACTTTTCAATTCAGCCTCGTTACTTTATATCGACACCCTCTCTCCATTAAAACAGTCATTCACAACTTGAGGTTGTTTAGGGAATTGACTATAGAGCAGTCATGCTTGGCTGGTTAAGCATGGGCTCTGCAAAAAGATCTCACTTTCAAGTCTGGTTCTGCAACTTTCTAAAGTTTCAAGGCCCTGGGCAGTTTCTTTAACACCTCTAAGCTTCAGTTTCCCCATCTGGTAAGATAGGGATAATATTACCTATATCTGAGTACTAGTGAGGATTAAAATAGATAATGCATGTGAACTGTAGTTAAACAATCCAAGAAATGTTACCTATTATTACTATGCCACACTAATTGTGACTTCATCTAAACAATTGTGGAATTAACAACTAAACAAATCATTTTGTAAATTTTTCTAAGATGATCCACCTTGCTTTGGTACATACCACTAAATGCAATCTTATTGAATTAGAATGGGAAAACAGCTATTAATTAATGTAAAAATATGCCATATATCTTAATGCTTTCTAAATATGAAAGGAATCAATACAAAAATTCTTAAAATTATACATTCTATGGGTATCATCAAAGAGACAAGAAATAAGTGTTGGCAAAGGATGAAGAAAAGGGAACTCATACACTTTTGGGGGTGGGGATGTAAACTGGTATAGCAACTATGGAAAACAGAACTACTATATGATTCAGCAATTCCACTTCTGGGTATTTATCCAAAGAAAACAAAAACAATAATCTGAAAAGATATATGCACCCCCACTGCAGGATTATTTATAATAGCCAATATATGAAAGCAACCTAGGTGTCCATGGATGGATGAATGGATAATAAAGATGAGGTAGATATATACAAAGGACTATTTATTATTCAGCCTCAAAAAGAATGAAATCTTGCTATTAGCAACAATACAGACGGGCCTTGAAGACACTGTACTAAGTGAAGTCACACAAAAAGAGAAATGCTGCATGATCTCACTTATATATGGAATTTAAAAACAAAAAACAAAAACCAGAGCTCACAGATATAGAGAACAAATTGGTGGTTGCCTGAGGTGGAATGTGTGGGGGACAGGTGTAGGGTGGGCAAAACAGGTGGAGGGGGTCAAAGGTACAAGCTTCCAGCTATAAAATAAATAAGTGATGAAGATGTAATGTACAGCATGGTGACTAAAGTTAATAATACTGTAAAAAAATACACATTCTACAGAAACTGAAAAAGACTACAGAACCTTGGTCACAAAACAGACCTAATGAACCTCTAAATTTGCATTATTTTGCTTGAGTGTTTTGTTTTTTTAATTGATTTTAAAGAGAGAGAGAAAGGGAGAGGGAGGGAGAGAGAGAGAAACATCGATTGGTTGCCTCCCTCGAGCCCCAACCAGGGATCAAAACCACAACCTGGGGATGTCCTTGATCAGGAATTGAACCGCAACCTTTGGGAGCATGGGATGACACTCAACCAACTGAGCCACAATGGCCAGGGCAATTTGCACATATTCGTTTAAGTTTTATTTATTTTTCCCTGATAAGGAATATGTATACACAGTACAAAATTCAAAACTTCAAAAGGACAGTCTGTGCAAGGTAAATCACCCATTCTGTCCTTCAGACTCCCCAGCACCCAGGTTTCTTGTTTTTCTGTGTGTGTGAATCTCTCCAGAGGTGCCCTTCCATTTTTATAAGCATATGTATTTTTCCCCATTACGCCTCCACATCCAAGTAGCATTGTAGAGAACAAAAAGATGTATTAGGTGAAAAGGTCCTTGGACTGAACAAGAACTATCTAGTCAATTAAGGTATCAAAGAGTCAAAATAAGTTTTCTACTCAACTGATTATCCTGAGTTTAAATTTTTAGCAATAACAAAGCAGATCCACAAATCCATAGCTGTGATCTAAATGACCAGCAAGTTATCAGTTCATTGTACATTATGTAACTCAAATGCCAGCCTTGGCCTTTGGCTATAGCTCTATTTGAAGTGCTGCCCTATCTTGAGATCTGACTTGCTGGCTCTCTGCAGCACAATAATATCTATAAATAATAACATTATTTCCATGTGAAAAGCCCAAAAACCTTTATACATCCATTTCCTCACAAATCTACTTCCATGTAGGGCCACATCACCAGCTCTAGGCTCCTTCCTTATGCATCCACCAGTCCCACCCTCTTTTCCAGTGTGGGTCTACCAGATGCTCACTGTGCTTTTTTTCCCCCCCTCTGTAACAACCCAGGTCTGGGTTTCTCCCCACACTCTTGTAGTGGGTTTGTGGTCTACAGCTGGGGTCATCAAACCACAACCTGTAGGCTGGAGACCGATTTTTATACTTTTACTGAAACATAGCCATACCCATTAATTTACACATTGTCTATGGCTGCTATCACTACAACAGCTGAGTTGAGTAATTAGTTGCCATACAGACTCCAAGCCTAAAATATTTGCTACCTGGTACTTAAATCACAAACACTGCTGATAATGGCACCTGTTAAAGACACCTGGGAAATACCCAAGGGATAAGAGAAAAAATAAATATTTTTGTGTAACTATATAAAAATGGTCATTTAGAAATGTGAGATGCTCATTAATAATGTCATTTATTCACTTATTCATTCAAAATATTTACATACTGAATGCTTACGATGTATCTCCAGGTATTGGGGATATGGTGTGAAAAAGACAAAATTTCTATTCTTGTGGATCATACAATCTTGTGGGGGAAATCAGACAATTAACAAACATATTATAAAAATGTCAGAGAGTCATGGAGAGAACAAAATAGGATGGCAGGATATAGTGTCAGTCCAGTAGCCACTTAGGCAGAGAGAGGCAGTAACACTTAGAGCGCCCTCTACACGATAGTAAAGATATAAAAGATGAGCATTCAAGCCAGAGTAAATAACTAGGGAAGGTTCCTAGGTGAAAAGGTGCTAGTGAGTTGGTGACGAGGAACCACAAAGCCAATGGGGCTGGGGCATCTGAGCCATGTTACTTAGCTCTTGTGTTTAGTCAACCTCAGAACCAAATGCTCTTCATATGTGCTCAAATCATCACAGTTGGTTGTTAATGTCATTTGTCTGACTGCCTCCAACTCTAACACATGCCAATATATAACAGGCACCTATATGTTTTATCAATGTGGAATAGCAATACTTCCTCATTATACAGTATTGGAGATATATTTAAATACAAATATACATTAACAATGTTAAAATTTACATATATTAATTTTAAATGATTTAGCATAACTTAAATGATTTATAATTTATATTACATGTTACATTATAATAAAAGTAACATTACAGAATACTTAGTAATTAATGTGGATTAACTCACTGCCCTAACATAATTATTATATATTCTTTTCCAGTATTAAAATATGCACACTCTACATATTTTCCTATAGCATTAACAAACATAATTTTGATAGACTGCAAAATCTATGACTATTTAAGCCTCAGGACTTCAAATATTTTGAAAATCTTTTAAAATGTATAACACTAATAGGTTGGGCTGCTCTGACCATATGAAATGCACATACTTTCCCCAATCCTACAAAATATCATCTGAATTTAAGCTTACTTAATTTACTGAACCAAAAATTATCATATAATTTATGGCCACAATTTATATGCTATACCCTGATGGAACCGTTGTCTTGATTATAAATAAAGATATGTAAGTTATATAAATATATAGATATGTGACTAGAAAGTTCACAAACTTAATGCAACCTCCAGCCAAGCAAGCAATAGAGGAGCAATGGGTGAGTAGGTGCAATGGGGTAGGGGCAATATGGAGAGGGAGGCTGACATTTTGTTCTATATTTCAGTATTACCTCATGTGATCATAATTTAGATATTCACATATTACTTGTGTTATTAAAAGGCAAAAAAAAAAAAAAAAGACACATACACAAAAGACAAACTCTAAAAATGAGGCTTTGATCTGCTGTTTTGGACTGAATGTGTCGTCTCCGCAAAATTCGTATGCTGAAATCCTAACCCCCAAAGTGATGGTACTAGGAGGTGAGGACTTTCAGTGGTGATTAGGTCACGAGGGTGAAGCCCTCATGAGAGGGATTAGTGCTTTTATAAAAGAGCCCCCAGAATGCTCTCTCACCCTCTCTCCACCGAGAAGATGCAATCAGAAAATGGCCGGCCATCTGCAGCCCAGAAGAGGGCTCTCACCAGAACCCAACCATGCCGGCAC